GGGGTATTTATGATAATATCTATTGTTTTTTGTAATGTATATGTCCCCAACCCCCAACCCCACCGTTCTCTTCTCTTTTCCCTCCCACCAACCTTACCTTCCCCATTCATGCCTTGCCCTTCCCTTCCCTTCCCCTCCCTTCCCCTCCCTTCCCCTTCCTTCCCCTCCCTTCCCCTCCCGCCAACTATAACCTTCGTGCCCTTTCCACCCTCTACCTCAGGGGCGGCAAATGGCGTTTGAGCCACGAGGACCCCCGCTGGGATCTGCTCATCCGCTCCGTGGAGTTCGAGCACGCCGGCACGTACGAGTGTCAGGTCAGCACGAAGGAGGACTTCGGCCGCAACGTCACGCTCAGGGTCATTGGTCAGTATGATCGGGCGACGCCAGGTGGCGCTTGGACAGGTAGAGGGTTGGCGAAATGCGCGCGAGGGTGCGGGGGAGCGCTCGGGTGGAAAGATGCATTGATAGATAGGCTGATCGAAGAACGCATGAATGAAAAAAAAAACAGACGAGATTGGCAGGCTTAAGTGATTTGACTGATTGATAACTTTTAGATTGAGAAACTTACAGAATGACAGATGGATAAAGAGACAAATAAATGGATGGAGGTATGGATTTGCATGGAGCGCTGGGATAGATGTGGGGAAAGACATTATTTCGTTCATATATAGACGAAAATATGTATGGAGACAGATAGGCGAAAATATGGATGGAAACAGACTGCTTAGCCGACATTTAGGTCGGCAAGTAGACTGCTTATTGGTAAACTGTTAGGTTGCCAGACGGATAAAAAGATAAATAGATAAGTCTGTCTTATTATACCTGTGAGAGTAATCGATGGAGTGGATATATAAGTATATAGGTCGATGGATGTACGAATGTATACACACAGACAGATTCGCAGAATTGGCAAACATACTGTCAGACAGAGGAACAGACGGATTGATAAATACATGAATATATGTGTATGAAGGCAGTAAATATGATGAAGGACTCACGCATTTGAAGAAACAAACAAAAAGAGAGAGAGTTTAGACAGATAGACAGACGACGGATAGATAGATAGACAGATAGATAGATAGATAGATAGATAGATAGATAGATAGATAGATAGATAGATAGATGGATAGATGGATAGATGGATGGATGGATGGATGGATGGATGGATGGATTAATTCATGTTACTAAAATAATGATTGATTTTGTCAAATGTGTAATGTTCAAATCTGATTCACACAGCATGATATGAGACAGAGTTAAGACTTGTTACTATTCTGCTTTCGCAGAAGACAAGACAGTGGGGCGGACTCACCACAGACACAACAAGACAGGTGAGTAAACACAGGCTCACAATTGAAATTAACTCAGAAGATGTGAAAGGAGACACGCGATATAGTTTTGGCAATGACTTAAAAGGGTTTTTTTCTCAAACGCTGGTTCCAAAATTGCTGGCCGTGACCTCTAAGTGGGTCGTCAGTAGTTTGCTATGGTGACAAGGTAAATTTAAAGGTCAACATGTTTGCTCTCCTTCTTGCATTAAAATTCATACAATGGTTTGTTGAAAATGTGTTTCTATTCACGGTAATAGCATGGTAAAGAGCTTGGGATGTACTCCCTAGTGTAGGGTTAAGATTTTAGATTGTTTGAGGGAGGAAGACATACCAGGACTAATGACTACGAAAGTAGGGAAATATTGTTAGTATGGTATAGCAAAAGTCACGTTGTTCATTCTAAAGATGATCAAATAATTAATAATAGATAATAATAGATAGCATTTGTATAGCGGAAATCCCCGCTCAACAGCAAGCTCTCTGTGCTTCACAATCTATACTATTACCCCAGCAGACCTGAGAGTATTCTGAAACAGCCTCAACCTCCTGGGAAGCATACAGTGCAAGCAGCCGTTTATAGGCGCTTAAACACTAACACAATTAAGCCTCTCACCACTCAATATGTACGTTATTGTTTCTCATGCCCTTGAGTGGCATTATAAAAGAAAATACCGTACTAGATGTGTTGCCAATCAACCAGCTTTTAAAAAATGTATATCCCTGTGAAAGGGACTTGTCGTATATCTTTACACGCTCTTTTTCTCCCCTTCACAATTACTGGCTGACATAAATCTAATCAGTTTTAATTGCTACACTGCATATTGTGTAATGTTATGACTTTTTTTTTAAATGACGCAAATGCTACGTTCGAATATATTTGATTCCGCAACCGTCGTTATGTGTAATTTTTCTGGAATTTAAATGCCAAAAACACCTGCAAAGGTGTTTTTGAAATCTTTTAATTACCATAATATACCGTTACATATTTTACCCTTTGAGGGTGTGTCAGAATACCTATGCTTGAAACTCAAAGCATTTGTTATGTTTTGCATCTTTTTTGTTGTAATGTTATAGGCTTAATGCACTTCTAAATCTACAACAGTTGCCTTATTACAGTGGACCTTTAAACTGTGCCCGTTTTATTTAAAAGATCGAATTCAGTCTCATCAAACTTTTATTAAATTACCTTTATTTTGACCTCACATCTTTTGACGGATCAAATTCAAACATATGATTACCTTAGATAGGATATTAATCTTTGCTTTGGTGTGTGGTTTTTTGTTTTCTTTTTCGTTATTGACTTTCAGGGTTCCGAATAGGGTATATTGAAAAGGGGAAAGATGTAAATTCTACTGTAAAACGCCTGTCATAGAGAATTTTTAAAAAAAGATGAAACTGATGATTCTCTCTCTCTCTCCCTCTCTCTCTCTCTCTCTCTCTCTCTCTCTCTCTCTCTCTCTCTCTCTCTCTATCTCTCTCTCTCTCTCTCTACATACAGATAGCTTTGGGTTTTATTGAAGATAGTATTATTTGAAATTGACATCAGTTCCTTAAATACACAACCATAAATTTATATGAGAGGTTTTGCAAAATCAAACTTTTATTTCAATAGTTTATATTTTGTTTCACTATGAATTCTGTTCCCTGTTGCCACCATACCTTAACCTTTTTGTTGTTTCAGGTATTCAACTTTCTGGCACTCTTTACGTAGAGAAAGGGTCAACTATTGACCTAAACTGTACGGCTACCTCGATAGACTACAGGCCAAAAGGCGTTGACTGGTTTAAAGACGGATCCAAGGTCAAGTCCGGTCACCGGGTTGTCTTCACCGATTATGTGTTGACCGCGGAAAATGTCCTGCACAGCCGGTTGCAGATTGACCACTCCACGATGGATGACGCGGGAACCTATGTCTGCCGATTCTCCGCTCGACACGTGCAAAGCGTTAAAGTCATTGTGTTAAATAGTAAGTCCTTCTTGCCCTGTCTTACTTTATTTCGCGATTCGGTCTATGACGGTTTCTTTGCCGCCTTTGATGATTTGTCCTTTAGAAATAGACTGATTAAAACGCCGTGTATATAATGATATTTATAACTTATAAATTTCAAATTTCCGCTCTGAAGAAATTAATTAAACTCATCATAGCCTCTGTTTGAACCAAAAGTAGAAAGACTATTTTTGTTATGTTTCATTAAAGATGTTTTGCCGGAAACCATAACTTTAAAACAGAAAAATTCATCCTTGTATTGCCAGACCGACATAGAATTGCCCCAAAATATTTTGTGAAAAAAGAAATGTCACATGTCGTCCACTGAGCGTGTTTGGTGACTTCATTATGCCGTCAGAGTCTATAATATAATAACTGATTTGATGTAAGACATGCTGTGTTCTTACGTGTTCTAACACCAGTCTACTTATTTTGCTTCTTGCGGCGGATTTGAAGAATGGCCGGGCCATTTAGCCTCCGCCAATCAGTTAGGTCGGTTTGTATTTTTATTCTGTTTTGTTCTGGCGTTGAGACATAGCACCGAGGCTGGGAGACCTCTCGACCTTCCATTAAAATCTTTTGTGTGAATTTGTTGCCTTTGTTTTTGCGAGTCGAAAACTCGTAGCATTACTGTTCAGAAACAGTCAGACCGAAACGGGGAAATTAATGTTTTGTGTCAGTGGAGAGCGTTTCATAAAATCGTTGATGTCGTCATTGTTCCATTTGTTTGGCACTGTGTTTTGCCTGCAGAGATACCTAAGGTAACGAAACCGACACTTCATCTCTCATGCCATTCCTATATTCAAAGACACGAAGTTTAAATTTGATCCACAAATAGTGCCTGCCTAAAAGAAAATCTAGATTTTTGGACAGTAAGCACCGTTCTGAAAAACAAAACAACGAAAGCATAACAAACAGAGCCTCACTCAAACTACATAGATATTCAACACTTTTTTTAATTGCAACTGATTCTCGTGAACTAGAATTCGAAAACAAAAGAACGTCTTCCTCGAACAGGGCCAACACGTATTATAACTTTAATAAATGCGTTGAAACTGTTTCAAAACAACCTGTTTAGAGTTCAGTGCAATGGTTGTCGAGGGTCTCCTGTCTCCCTCACGTGCTGCAGTCTACTTGGTGTTGCAGCTTTCGCTGTCGTTGTCATCTGTTGTACCGCACGTTTGCTCGACCCGTCCGGATTTCATTATGTCATTATGTGTAGTATTTAGCTCTGATAAACTCTTTGTTCTTGACACATCGTGAAAGAACCATACCTTTGGCAATAAGCCCGATAACTGATATCATGACTTGTGTGTATCTCATACTCCACCGCATCTTTGACGAGCTATTAAATTTGTCTTTTCTTACTTGAATAAAAAACAGATTTTTATGTACCAGCCAGGAATTCTGAAAAGCTGTATTACCGTGACCTTCTTTTATGATTTTAATTTACAAGGGGGAAGGGGGGGGGGTGTCACTATCAGCAATGTTCTGTGGTATTCGTGGTATGTGCTATCGAAACCAAATCTATTCATGTTGATAGCGTTTTCCTCTCGCTAAAACATATATAATATAATGTGTGTGTCTGTGTGTATGTGTGTATGTGTGTGTGTGTGTGTGTGTGTGTGTGTGTGTGTGTGTGTGTGTGTCCCAGTTAGCGTTAAGGAGCCACAGTTCAAGCAATTCTTTTTTTAAAGTTAGTGCATGCATATGAATACAATATTATACTGCTTGTTTCCACCATTTTACCCATTGTTACAATATCACGTTTTTATGTTATGGATTGTTTCGAAACACGTTAAATAAGAAAGTCAGTCTGAAGTTGTTAGTAAAGTTAATGTCTTAAATACATATTTAAACATCAGCTTATTGTCACTTTCTTTTTATCACGCACTTTATTCTTAATTGGTAGACGATAAAAGCGACGGCATGAACTCCAGGATAGTGAGTTATAGAAAAATAAAACTATCATATACAAAATAATATATCTTTGTCAACAGAATTCCAATTCTAATTTTCAGCCTTTCATTTGTTCAAATAGCAGTGTGCATGTTCGAAACAATCTGCCAGTAATGATGTACATTATGTATGTGTGTATTTGTCTAGAATGTTCACGAATTCTTTTTTCTTTCCATTAGCTGATTCACCGAATAAGCGGCGAGGTAAGCCTGCGTACCAATTTTGTCTTTTCAAGTATTCGCTCGGTGCACTTTTTTCTCACCTCACAGGGAGAGTTCTGCATTGCTTCAGGCCTACAGAAGGAAACATAGATATTTAGATACCTTAGTATATTTAATATATAGCTTTTGTGGGATCTATATAAGATTAACCCCATGGGGACTTGATTTCTTTATATTAAAAAAAAGAAAGATAACTTCAACCATATCCCTGCAGATGCTTGCTACATACGAAAAATCTCGGAGTTTCTCAAAACTAATAGTTTAGACACGTGTGCTTCAAAAAGAATAACAATTTTTAACTAACTCAGTAACTCTCTGTGTGCAGTCTTCTTTGTTTTAATTTCCGAAATTCTGTTGTGGTGTTACTGTTTCACTAGATTCTATCTTATTTTCAGTTCATAATATTCTCAGAACAGATTTATCTCTTAAGAAAAACTAACATGAAAAAGCCTGTCCAGCTTTGAGTCTTTTATAATGCTTAAACGAGATATTATAAAATTGATGGATTTGCCTGTGAGTAATACATTCTTCACCGACTTATGGAACTTTGTGTAATCTGCTAATTTTTATATTGTGTACAAGTTTTCAATACCTTTTAATATTCAAGAGGTCCTTTTTTTTAAACTGAACTTTGTTTTGATATTATGGAAGAAAACTTGACTGGGAATATTGGTAATTTACCAGTTTGCGCACGCATTCTTTATAACGAACTTTACCTTGACTTACAAATCCTAATGACAACCTTTGAAATGTTATACTCTATCAATTAATTCAAAAGTACCTATTAATGATTTGAGAGAACTATGTAAGCAATGCAGGACTTTCCGCGCCTCGCAGATTAAAAAACACACAGCAAAAGGTTTTTCGCAAACAGCTTTAGCCTTCTAATTTTTGTTTTTGCCCTGGTTTGTTTGTTTGTTTGTTTGTTTTTTCTTTTTAGTTTGTTCTTCTTTTGCTTTGTTTCAGCTTCGTTTCACGACTACAATTGAAATTATGCACTTTCGCTTTGTTCAATTGCTCTGACTGCTTTGGTTTACAAACAGTTCTGACTGATATATCATTTTGCTTTGTCAATGTCATACTATTGTATCACCTTGTAGATAGCCCAAGCATGGTTCGTCATAAGTTGATAATGTACACCAACTCCTCGTTAAAAAAAAGACCCATTTCCTTGCATGGCATGAAGTTTAAAGAGAAAAAGAAAATTCAAATCAAGTTTCCCTTTGCATCTTTTCCACATGCAGACGATGGACAGGCGACGTTGCCTATAAAGAGAGGTGTGCTATTCTTGCCAGCAAAAGGCAACTCTGTCCTATCTGTTTTTACTGTGTGTAGTGTGTATGTGTGTCTGTGTGTGTGTATGTTTGTGTGACATTTTAATTGGTTGTTAAAAGTGTTATTATTATTATTATTATAT